CTAAGATCTGAAACTCGAAGTGTCTGCCAAAGAACAAGAAAAGCATTATAGAACTAAAAAAGACGTATTGGAACAACATAAACGAAAACATCAGAGAACGACAAATAGAATCCAAAATCCTAAAATGAGAAGAAACATTAAAAAGTATCTGCAAGGAATGATTAAAGCTAAAAAAAAGACAAGATAAAAATATCAGAGAACAAGAAGAGAAGATAGCTAGAGTTAATATCTAATTCTAAATTGTTTACACTAATACCTAAAAGAAAGAACACAAACTAACGAAAGAGTAAATGCGATTGAAAACAAGAACATTTACTGAAAGAAAGAAAGAATCTAAATATATAAGAAAGTAAAAACAAAAAGAAACTAATGTCCAGAAAGATTCAAAAGACTAAGAAAAAGAAGACTTATCTAAAACCTGAGTAAAGAAAAGACTTGAAGAGTATTCACTGTCGACAAAATCTACAAGGAACCAGAAAACATATGTTGGAAAGACCTACTGAAGATTCATAAACAAAAAAAAAAAGTACTAAATAAACAATGAAAGACTACAAAAAACTTATTAATTAAATTATTGTAATAATAAACTTTTTATTTATAATACGTAAAATAAAATTCTGATAACATCAAACATAAACAATTTAAATAATATATTATCATAGTAATAGTAACCGAAAATTTAAAACGTTAAGATGAACACCAGAAAAAACTATTAGAAACTAAATATTAAACAAAAATTAAACAATTTATATGTATGTTTATGTTGTGATACATAGTTACTTAGATAGTTCCTCTTGAGGATATATCCTCTTGAGGATTCTATAAACAAAAGTTTATTAGAATAAAATTCCAATGTGTAACAATTTAATTTTTACATTTCAGAGATACTTCTGGTTCTAATAAAAACCCTCTATTTTTTAAAAGAAGTAAATAAGAGGTTCTACGAGTACTGAACAAATGTCCATATACGGCACTTGCAAAAATTTAGATTAAATTATTTTTATCTACAATTTATTAAATACATTTTGAAATAATTTTTTATATAATATTTATCAAGATTAACAATCATATGAAATAAAATTTATTAGGTAATAAACTCGCAAAACATGAATAATTCAAAATGCAAAACTCAATGAATACTTAATGGTCTTGTAGTATACTAATAATGGAAATCTTCATTAGTATTTAAACTCAAATTTTGAGAACTTACCTGAAAGATTAAAACTACTTCTAAATATTTCTGAAGATTTATATGATGCAGGATATATTCATACAGACCTTCACAATAGTAATATCTTACAAGATCAACATATTAATGAAGAAATTCAATCTTACATTTCAGATCTAGGATTGTCTTGAGGGTCAACAATTTATAACTTTGGAGTTAACATGTTAGAGCCAAGCAAAGACCTTTTGATGGTTGTAAATTTAATGTTAGTCTTGTAATAAATACTTACAAAGGACTGCATCTGGAATTTGCTTTTGGAATATATTATTAAAACCTAGAACTAAAAAAAAATGTTGTGATAAATTTGAAAATATATAAGTATGATAAATAAAAATTTTAAATTCTTCCACACATACATAATATTTTTTTTATATATTTTTCTTTAATAATTGTTCGACATAAAATCGTTAAATTCTACCTGGCCTAAATTAAGAATCGTCAGATTCTTCCAGGCCTAAATTAAAAATCTTTTTGGCTCGAATTAAAAATTATCAGATTCTTCCCAGCCCTGTAAAATTTATTAATGAGTCTTCCAAAAATTGTCAAAATCTTCCTAGCCTAAATTAAAAATTCTTCCTAGCTCACATTACAAATCATTTGGCCTGAATTAGAGAATTTCGGCCCTGTAGAATCAATTAACAAATTTTCCAAAATCGTCAGATTCTTCCCGGCCCTGTAGATGATCTTTACTGGTCTAAATTATTGCATTAAAGATTTTTTTCAGCCTGCATCATAAATTCTTCAGTCTAAGAAAATCATCAAATTCTTCCACCTATACTATATAACTCTATATTACTGCAGTTTATAATATATTATGATGATATGATTATTTTTATATTAGGTAGTTATTATCTGTAACACTGGCTGATAATAACCTTATGTTACTTAATATAAAATTAATTATTTTTAAACTCTTGTAGTTTTTTAATTACATTAAATAAATATTAATACATAGCTTGCTAAAAAGGAAAAAAAAATATTGATAACAGATAGGATTTAAAAAATCTAAGACTTAAAATAATAACTAAAAAAAAATTTTTTGTATTTTTTTAAAAAATTTGAAATTACTTTAAATCGCAAATTTGTTATTATTATATAAATATATAGAAAATAATATAAACAAACAAATATAATTTAAGAATTAACAAGAATTTGTGATAAATGAGATAGGACTAAAGAGTTTAAATAAGGAATCTTCTAAAAGATTTCAGATATA